GCTAGGTCCTGGGCCAGCCACTTTCCATGTCAAACATGACCCTGCTTATTCTCTATGATACCGTCATGTGACTAACCCCACAATGGAGGATGGAGAGATGTCACAAGAGACAACCTGGCTCCAGAGCCCATGTTTTGGCCCAGGTCATATAGCACTTCCCAGGCCATGATTCACCTCCTGAGCTGTGTGCACTTGAACAAGTATCTACAACTCTCAGTCTCCATTAAGACCATAAAATGATTGGACATGGTACCTATTTTTTTAATTATTGTGAGGACTGAGTTATACTGCATAATTGAGTGTTTATAAGTTCATTTAACAGGATGAAGAGACCCTCAGACTCTCCCTTTAACCTGGACATAAGGTGGAATTAAATACTAAGATCGCTGTCTCCTGTCTTGCTTTTCCTTTTGGTTGCTCATCATAAGCTGAGCTCAGTCATCATCAGGAATGGAGGGGCCAGAACAGGTGTAACATAAAGTGCATATGTCACTAGCTAAAGTCAAGCCAGGTCTTGAGGTCCAAGTTCAGTCTTTTCTATAGCATTGGCTGTCATCTTCTGACATAGCAGCCAGAAGTAGGCATTAGAAGGTTGGACCACTGCTCGGGTAATAGGCAGACGTTGGTCCCTCAGCCAAGTTCTCCATGAGTTTCCGACGCTTACCTTTACAACTGAGGGAGAGACACGAAACAGGAGGAAAATAAAGGTAGTGACCACAGGCTCAGACACATCACAGGGGAGCAGAGGGGCTTAGGGTGCTGCGAGACCCTCCTTGTCTTTGGTGAAGGGTCCAATGCCATCTCCTAGGGTCGCAGGGGTTTCTCCTTAACATAGCCGTGTAAAGGATTTTATTCCAATAAAACATCGTTAGTAAGCAGAACGGACCCTGCAGTGGAATACCTACGTCCTCACAAATCCCTCCCTCCCAAGATCTCCTTGTGAGGGGGTGCTGGGGGGCACCTTTGTCCTTCCCTCTGAAGATGCCCCTGTGTGTCTGCAGCAGTGTGTGTTCAGCGTCCACAGAACATTCTCACTCACAGCCCAGAGAGCAAAGAAACTTTAAAGGTTCACATCCCCAGCTGATGGAAGGCAAACAAATGTCTGTGAATCTCCTCTCAAGGCCCACTGTTCTGAGAGAAAACAAAATGGCGAGGCGGAGAAGGCCTGCGTTTCCCAGCATGCCGTAGATACCCAGTTATGAAAACTGGTTACTCACAGGCAGCTGGATTCTGAATTCCAATTCAGGCCGATCGGAAGGTAACACCTTCTGCTAGGCAAAAGCACTGGAAGTGTAAGCATAAGGTGAGCAGAAGGAACACAGGTTGGGAACAGACAACAGGTTTATGTAGCAAAGTGCATACGTGTCACACGCCTGTAGCGGTCACTTCTACCCCAGACATTAGCACAGGTGGTCAGTGGAGATTCAGTATTCATGGGGTTGTCATCTTTTCTGCATTTTTAAAAAATGTGTATATGTGTTTTGCCTGCATGTTTTCCCAGCAACCACATGGTGGCACACAATCCTCTGTAATGAAATCGAATGCCCTCTTGAGGAAGAGGCTCAGTCATCCTCATCAACTTAGACCATGAAACCCAAAATGGACAAGTTCAAAAGAACTGCCGTATACGGACTGCCCATGCATGTCTCATCATGGCCCGGGCATAAAGTCCATGTATGGGCACCATATGATGCAGTCCCCACAGAAGCCAGCAGAGGGCATCAGATCCCCTAGAACAGAGTTGCAGATGATTGTAAGCCACCCTGTGGGTGCTGGGAACTGAACTCTGGTCCTCTGCAAGAGCATCAAGTTTGTGTCACTGCCAAGCTATCTCTCCAGCCCCCTACTCATGGGATCCTAAGTAGACCCCAGGCTGCGGAAATTCCTCTATGTGGAAGAACATCTGTACATAGAAACATGTTATCCAAAGCAAATGTTCCCTCAATGGCTCCCATTCCTTTCACAGGGCCGTCTTGAAACAATTCCCCGATTCTTCAAACGTATGCTTTCCCCAACACTGACAGCCCAGGCCAAATTTCTAAGCATCTAGGCTTCCATTCTGTCAGGTTTCAGAGCTGACAACTCTACTGAGTCCCAGAAAACAGCACTTTGCTCACTCAGCTGCCGCAGAGGGTTTCCGGCAGGTGATAAACAGGCTATGTCGTGCAGGTTTCGTAAACTCGGGATCTATAAGAGTACCAGGATCACCTGCAGGCGTAACCTGCTGAAATGCAGCTAGTGGCTAACATGAGTTATCGAGAGGGACAGCCCATGCCTTTGGCTGAAGAAGGACAGAACGTTAGCACTCTTAGATCTGGGAGACCACCCAGAGAATTCTTTCAGCAAGCACATCAAAAGTAGACCGAGAGCCTTGTTGGGTTAGAGTCCAGGGTAACCGCCCAGGTGAATAAAATCAGTTTCTAAACTCAAAGGTTCATAACTAACAAAGTGGACCACCTGCTGCTTCTATAGGGATGAGAACTCAGGCTGCATGAGCCGCCAGGGAGGCTCCTCAGAGGTCATGGCCTTAGGATTAACTCTGGAAGAAGGAACAGAAGTCGGGAACCAGGACGTGTGGGGAGAAGGAGCTCTGTGATGAGGGGGTCGGTAGGGGAAGACCCAAGGCCTCGGCCTCCCTGTGCTGGGCTCCTGCACCAGGGCTGTAGGACATGTCCTTTCCCTTGTAAGGTTAGCAGTATCTTAAAGGGAAACTCATCCAGCCTTGAACTTTACTCGGACTCTTTGGTTTTAAAACACCGTTCAGAGTGATATTTCATGCATGGCTTTTATTTAGAAGTGTTTTTAGGAGGCCACTACGGATTTAAACACCTAGGAACATGAACTCTTTCAGGAAAAGCCTGCGGGGGAAAGAGATACTCAGGCCCGTTTTCCCACGGTTTCGTCACCTAGGCAGACCATTAAGCCTGAGGTGAGGCCACATGTGGGAGTAGCAGCTCCTGCTCTCAAGTCTGTATTCTCCAGTTCTGAAGGTTCTAGAATGTTCTCCCCTCCCACTGGCTCCTTTGCTGCCTTCATTGGTGGCCTTGCTGTCCCAGAAACCTGCCTGGCTCACCCCCTGGCTTCTGCGGGAGGACGAGTTCCTGCAAGGCCTGCAGAATGTGCATCAGGTGCTCAGAACCAAAACCAGGGCTTCTGCAGCAGCGCATGCACTCCGGCCCTGAGGAAACCCTACCAATGCCTCCTGCTCCTTTTTGACATCACCAGGCTCTTATTCCAGCCTTCTGCCCTAACAGTTGGCATGGTACCCTTGAGCCCTCTGCCACCTTTACGGTTTGATGCCCTCTCCATCCGATTGCTCTCTCCGCTCATTGTAACAAACAGGAAACCATCCCAGGGAGTCCCCTGTACCATCAGCTTCATTGTATAGACAGGAAAGTGAGGCTCAGAGAGGGGAAGACAATTGCTTTTGGTCACACAGCATGGTACTGGAAGATTGGACCCAACACATGTCCCCTTAGCTCCAGGAAGAGGCTTTTTCTCTTTGCCACGCTGCAGACCAGGAGGCCGGTCACTTGTTACCTTGTTACTCAGATCAGCACGGGTCTAAAATGGTGATGCCTCTTTCATAGAGGCCACATGGTGTTGACTTTTTAAAAAAAACTTATTCTTTTATAGGAATATTTTATTTTTAATTATGTTTACAAGGGGGTATACACATATGAGTGCAATACCTGCGGAGGACAGAAGAGGGCAGCACACCCTCCGGGGCTGGAGTTACAGGGAGTTGGGAGCTGCTGAGTGTGGGAACCAAATATGGGTCCTCTGCAAGACCAGTACTTCACCTTCACCGCCGAGCCATCCCTTCGGCCCCCAGTCTTGGATTCTTGACAGATCCTTGTGAGCTAAGACAAACTGAATCCTTACCGCTGCCTGCCCTTTCAGCCCACTCCTCTGCTTTCGCTCCTAGTCCGCCAGCTCAGTCTGTGAGTCAATGCCGCCGTCCTCTGAGCCTGTTTCCTTTTCTGTGAATACATTGACCCTGATGATCCCTGGGAACCTCTGAAAGTTCTACAGTTTCCCGCCCTTCCCTGGTTCCTCTGCTCCTTGCAGCCTTCAGACCTCTGGCTCCTGCTGTGGAACGAGTTTCTGCAAGGCCCCCGAGAGTGTGACATCAGGGAAGGCGTGCAAGCTTGAGGTCCTAAGTCACACGCTCAGATCCTGCCTCTCTGACTGCTATCCGTGGTCCTCAGGGGAGTCAGAGGAAGTGACAGTCCACCCAAAAGTGGGCTGGGTGACTGAGCGCGGGGCCGAGAGGCAGGAGGACAGAAAGGTCTGTGGTTTCTCTTGCAGCCAGTGAGGACCAGCATAGGGGTTTTAGTACCAGAATAGCAGCATCAAGTTCATATCACAGAGCTCCCCCGGGCTGTCATAGGAGAACAGACAATGCTAAAAGATGACCTACAGGCTGCTGGAGCGATCCCAGATAGAGACAGGGGTGGGGAGTGGGGGGATAGATGGATGTAGGGGAAGAAAAGGCGGGAGAAGACACACTGGTGCGTGTGTGGAACAGAACGAAAGATCACCACCGCTCACAAGTCTCTCTGTTTCCTCCCAACAATGTTTGCCTGAAGTGCTAACATACTTAAAAAGATACATAAAGTATTAATAAAGCCATGCACAGAGGGTGGGATGTGAGTCAGTGTGTAGAGTGGGGGCACCCTGCGCAGAGCCTTGGGTTCCGTCCTCGACACTGCATGGAACGGGGTATGGTTGTGCACATCTGTGATCCCTAGGCAGAGAAGGAGGATCCAAAGTTCAAAGTTATCCTTCACTACAGAGCAAGTTCAAGGTCAGCCTGGACTGCTTTAGTCTCTATCTCAAAAAAAAAAAGTGTATGTGTGTGTGTGTGTGTGTGTGTGTGTGTGTGTGTTCGCATGTGGATGTGCGTTCAGGTGGGTCTTGGTTCACAAGAGTCTGGACCCTGGGCTGTATAGCATAGAGCCAACCCCACTTTCAACTCTCCCTCTCTTCTCTTATAGAATCAGTGGATAACTGCCCCAGCAACTGCTACGGTAATGGTGACTGTATCTCGGGGACCTGCCACTGCTTCCTGGGTTTCCTGGGCCCTGACTGTGGCCGAGGTGAGTGCTCAGATGGGCCTAGTGGTAGCTGCTTCCCAGATCTTAGCGATATCTGGGGTGTGCTCTACAGAGGGAGCTTCAGACTCAAGCTGACTCCTGAGGTGCCCAGGAAAGACTGCCCAGAGCCGCTCCTCAGTAGCCTGTGGAAGGGAGCGGGCAGGTAGAGCCACACCCTGTCAGCCATTGGTATCCAGCTATGGACAGCACAGGGGTCAGGCCAGGACTGGGAGCTCTGAGTTCCTTGCTAAAGCACTGAGGACAGCAGTGGACAGTGAAAAATTTATTCCTTCTTTAGAGGAACCGTCGGCCCTCATCAGACACCTCTGATGTCCCTCCTCTCTGACCTGTGGGTGGGAAGCATGTGGAGACACTCCACTTTTGTACAACATAGGCAGACTCGGCTAAGGCACCAGCACAGGGACCTGGACATCTGGCTTCTCCTCCCCTAATGCTCCCTTCAGCATCTATAGTGCTAAAGACGACTTTTGGGGTAGTCTGAAGGCTACCTGGGACCTAGTGAGTTCTTTTGGCCCCCATTTTTGTCACAGAAGCATAAAGAGGGAAAATTTCTAGAGATCTGTGGTCCTGAGAATTTGATGTTGCTCACAGGAAATCCAAAATGGCCTCTTGCCTTGGTTTCTCCATTTCTTTACCCAGAAGCCACTGGTTTCGTGTGCATTTAGGAGTCTGTGGTGTGCTGGAAGCTACACATATCCCTCTGACCCCGCCCGGGGCTCCCAGGCTGTGCTGCAAGAGTAAACCGACTATTAAAAACAGCGTTGTGACACCTGAAACAGAGGCAGTAAGCTGGGTGTGGGTGTCTCAGCTAGGCAAGAGGAAGATCTGCTCAAAGAGATAGGCATGGACCCGAGGCCAAGGCTTGTGGAACTCAAGAATGGAAAGCAGAGATGATTTCCCAGACCAAGGGAATAGCAGCCTACAAATCCTGCCCAGGGTGTAGCTCCAGGGACCCTACTCACTTCCGCTAATATAAAATAGACTTGCATAAAAACAGTCAAGCTGGCAGCCCTGGGAAGCATGGTGATTGCCTGCTGGGTGCTCTGGAAGGGAAAGAAGCCAGGTAGAGCCCAGCAAACGTGGTGCAGAGAGAGCTGAGTCATTCCTCCTAAGGAGAATTGCTTCCCATATGCACTTCAAGTTAAGAGTCGCATATAACGCATCCCGATTTTATCTCAGGCTGGGTGAGCACTTGCTCCACAATGCAGTACAATCTATCCTTGTATAGTTTCTTCCTAGAGATGATCTCAAAGCCTTTATGCTAAGAGGCATTGTGTGAGCACACTTTAAAGAGCTAAACTGGGCTCAGCTCTTCTGAGGGGCTGTGATATAAGGGGCTGGAGCGGGGGCCGAAAAGACAACAGAAGCGGACTTTCCAGGGTTAAAGACCGCTTTTGGTCAGTGGTGTTATGGTGGCAGCAGGGCACTGGGTAGTGGCTCACCCCGGCTTCTGTGATGTCTCCGCAGCCTCCTGTCCCGTGCTGTGCAGCGGGAATGGCCAGTACATGAAGGGCAGGTGCCTGTGCCATAGTGGCTGGAAGGGCGCTGAGTGCGACGTGCCTACCAACCAATGCATCGACGTGGCCTGCAGCAGCCACGGCACCTGCATCATGGGCACCTGCATCTGCAACCCCGGCTACAAGGGAGAGAGCTGCGAGGAAGGTGAGTGTCACACGGGCTGGTGGCTAAGGGGGAGGCCAGCATCCAATATGGGATAGTTTTCAAAGATTCATGCTTTGAAATCCAATATACCTCTGAGTCCTGGCTCAGTCTCCCTTTCCAATAAAGTGAGGCTCCCTTCCTCAGGAGGCCACTGCGAGGACTGAGTTAAATAGCCCATGTCCAGCACTTAGCTCAGTGGCTGACACCTATTAAAGGCTCCATAAATGTGGCTGTCATGTCCATAGCATTATTCTGGGAATGACCATGTCTCACCTCTTCACTTCCTCTGGGCTCTGGAAATGGATGGACTTTGCCATTTACAGTTGATGGTCAATGCACACACTTGCCACCACCCCCAGTTTCCCCCCACCCAGTGCCTTGTCTCCTTCCCCAGTGGGAGGGAGAGTTTCCTAGGAAGGAGGGCCTTATAAACCCATTTAGGATTTGATGGAGAGCCTTCGTTTGCCACACCATTCCCTCTTAAAGGAGAGAATGTTAACAGGCCTAAAGAAGGAAGCCAGGCAGGATGGATGTCTGGAAGGCATTTCCTGTCTCAGTTATACACAGCCCTCCAGGGACTAGTGAGGCCCCATGCAGACCCCTTAGCTTTGGGGACAGTGGTGACTGGTGAGAGAAGAGTGCAGCCCGGAACACACAGGTCTGGTTTTCCTTACCTGGAGTGTAAGATCTTCCCCTGCTATCACGTAAGGTGAAGACCCTGCACAGGAAAGGGAAGTGAGGAGAGATTCCTATTAGAACCGTCTGCCCATCGTCATCCTACCTGAGCCCTGCCCATGTAGTGTTCCCTCAGACAGAAGGACGCTAAGCAGCGCCCCCTCCCCAGAGCTGTGGGATCTTTCAAGAGTAAAAAAATAATGGATAGAGCTTTGATTTACGTTATCTTTTTTAAACGAAGCATTTTTTCCTCCCGGTCTCCTTTCTGAAGAGGGCCATCTGGGACTGGTTCCTTTTTATTATTTTTTTTTCTCTGCTAAAACTTGCTTGCACAGCCTCGTGTTTATAATAATGTTTTCAGAGGGTCTACCTCCCCTTCTCTCCTCTTCACCCTCCTCCCTGGGCTCTGTTGCTAACAGGTTCCCCCTGTTTATAAAACATCGGCTAACAAGCTTACTCTTTCGCCCCCCTCTTCCTTCTTCTGAAGTTTATGGCCCCATATTTTTTAAATCTTGGAAGGAGCCAGGGGTGGGATGTTTGAAGGGGCCTAGGGGAGGGGCAGGAGAGTGCAGACATAGATCTTCTGCAGTGAAAAGTGAGACGCTGCACACTCGGTCCTGAAGGGCATCTAATGGCTCGTGTGGTCACTGGAGCATGGAACATTGGCGGGGGGGGGGGGGAGGCCTGCACTTGCAGCCTGGCCATGTGGGCATCGTCATTCATTAAGGAGCCAAGCTCCTGCCAAGAATCCTGGCGCTGTGAAAGGGGGAAAGGGGGACGGGCTGCATGCCGTCCAGGAAGATGCTAAACCAAGTTAGCCCCCCTCACAGACACCTCCTCCCTCCCAGGCCTGCTGGTCCTTCCTGCATTACACACAGCTCCCTCCCGGGAGATAACCCATGGTCACAAGGCTGTCCCAGAGTGAGGGAAGAAGACAGCTTTATCTTTTCTTGGAACTGCTGTCACCCAGAGGCCCCGGATGGGGGCAGATCCAGGTCACTCCAAGCCTCTTTGGCAGAGAATCACTGTAACAGAGCTAACAGACCTAGGTTGAGAATCCGGGCTCAAGGCCATTCAATGAGTTCATCAAGTCTAACCGGGGTGTCAAGAGCTACCTTTTCCCTGCTATGTGGACCTCTGTGAGCCCCCCACACACTTCCAGGTCACCTGGAGGCATGAAGACCGACTGTCTGGACAGGAGGTGACCCCTCACCAACACCTCCCAGTCTTTATTCCACTGAGATGTGGGATTCCCTTTGCTGGCTCCTTGCTCCCTGTTTGTGGAAGGACAGTTCCCTGACACTGCAAGCTAACATTGAATATTTACAGGATCCACACTGAGGACACCCTGGGGGCCCAGAGGCAGGGTCAACCCAAAGCAGGGCCAGGTACTCACAAGACAGGAAAATACCTTCATCGGTCTCTGGGTAGGAACCATGGAGTTGTTTCCTGTCAAGCTGGAAAGCTCTCTGGACTGAGGGAATTGCCATAGTAGCCTAATAGGCTGGAATAATCCTTCTGAGGTTCTGGGATCTGAGGCCCGTCATGAGAATTTATCACTGTTGTTGTCTTTGTTATTTTTAATTACCCGAACTTCAGCAGGTCACGTTTTAGCCGTTACTAAATGGTGTCTGGAGACCATGAGAGAAGAGTCATTTGCCTGCATTGGACTTTATTAATTCCCCACATTGTCCTGTTTCTTTCTGTGTTTTGATTTGGCTTCTATTTTTAAAGCACTTCGTGTGTTTATGTGGGCATATACGCACAAATGTATTTTTAAACCAGTCTGATTATAAGAGAAAATAGCAAGCAATCTCAACAGGAGAGAGAGGCTGAAATGTAAATTCCTTCTGTGCTGCCTTGGAAAAAAATAGTTAACAGAAATAACAGATTAAGCAGAGCTACATAAAATGCTTAATATCAAAACGTAGCACAGAGGAGCATCTAAACGAACGGCAGTTGTCGCCGTGGTCACTACACTGCTTTTAACGGCCCCTGGTCCTCTCATTTGCCTACCACTGAGATTGCCCAGGAAAACTCCTTTTAAATCTGAGATGACTGAAGAGCCTCCTCCAATGACTTTCCCTCAAAACAGATGTCCCAGCATGCCCTCTTTCATAGAGTCTCGGCCTCTTTGCACCTGTGACTTTTTTATACCCAGACCATGCTGCCCAGGCATTGGCATGAAAGCCAAACTCTGATTATAAATGAAGTTAGTACGTTTAAATGTCTGGATTATAGATGAGCCCATAGTTTGCACAAGCCTCACTACTCCAACTCCCGAGGGGATGGAAAAATAACCTCCATGACGTCACAGTTCATCTAGCCTCTCAGAGCCTCCTAGGCACTTGTTCCTTAGAGCATCCTGATAGATCGGGATGCTGGCCCTGTCAGTTTTATAGTCAGAAAGCTCAGAGCTTCCACTCAATGAGGAAACCTATGTTAGTTAAAAAAGACACAAAGCAGTATGTGAAGACACCTAACATCTTCCCCCACATACACAGGCATGGACACATACACCCACACACTCGTGTGCATGTACCAATACATGTACACACACACACACACACGAGGAAAATCCTTTCTGGTAGAATTTATATATGTGACCTGGCATAAATTACTTAATCCCTCTGAGCCTCTGAGCTCAGTTTCCCCATCGGGGCCTCCTTGTCTTACTGCAAACATGGTGGGCTCTGGATGCCATGCCGATGTCTCCTCTCGGCTCACCTCACAAGCCAGAGAACAGAGACTTGTAGCCACATGTTACAGGTGTGGTCTGCCATTCACCGGAGGCCTGGACAGACGCTTTTAACAGCATGCCCCCTCCCAGGATCCTCACCCTGCGGTGTCCGTGTTCACTGTACCATCTTCCTTCCATGTCGCAGTGGACTGCATGGACCCCACATGTTCCAGCCGGGGTGTCTGCGTGAGAGGCGAATGCCACTGCTCCGTGGGATGGGGAGGCACCAACTGCGAGTCACCCAGGGCCACATGCTTGGACCAGTGCTCAGGCCACGGAACCTTCCTCCCAGACACCGGGCTTTGCAACTGCGACCCAAGCTGGACCGGACACGACTGCTCCATTGGTGAATATTGGGGAAAGGGATTGGCGTGGCGGGAGGGAAGGTTCGGTGTTACATGTGACCACTCAGCCCCGGTCCGTGGTGTGGCCCTGCTCTCGGGCACCTAACTGTGAACTCCTCGGGTTGTGGATTTTTTTTCTTCTTCACTGCCCTCTAGTCTTTGAAGACTTTCCTTTCAGTGACCAAAGAATTCAAAAAGCACATCCTCATCTTGTTCAGCCTGAACAGTGATGCTGAACAGTGTTGTGTTGGGTGCTTTTGTTTAGCTCTGAACAGAATCACGAGAGTATGACTTACTTAGTGGAGGGAAGAGCTATCTCACATCACAATTTCAGAAAGTTAGGTCCAGGATTGCTTGGGGCACGCCATCTTTACGGTAGGAGAATGTGTTGGAAGAGGTTCTTTACCGCATGATGGCTGAGAAACAGAGCAAGAGACAGGAGGGAGATGGGACTTGAGACCCACAGGGCACACCCACAGTGACAGCATTGGTTACTTGTCTGGCTGCTGTGCTAAAATACCTGGCGAGGTATCTAATGGAGGAAGGGCTTATTCTGGACGATAATCCCAGAGGAATCATTCCATTCTGGTGTGGAAGACAGACGTGGCAGCAGGCGCTCGGCTGGAGGGTCACAGTCTTACCACAATCAGGAAGCCTGAGCAGGAAGTGGGGGTAGGCTGTCAGCTCACCCCCGGGGCTGCATTTCTTCCATCTAATCTCTACTACCTCTTAGAGGCCCCCAACCATCCTAAACAGCACCACCAGCTAGGGATCAAGAGTCCAAACGTGTGTGCCGATGGCAGACGCCTCCCATCAGCACCACGGTAGTGACCTGCCAACTCCAGCTGCATTCCACCTTACCGAGTTTCTAGAGCATCCCAAGTAGCACCATCAGCTGAGGACAAAGTGTTCAGCAGACGAGCCTGTGAGAAACGTTTCCATCTTAAACCATAGCAAGTGCCATTTGCCAATGCCGACGGTGACCCCCGTGATTCGAGATGCATTTTACTGAGACTTGTCTGGGGCCAAAGCCACAAGGGAGCCTAAGAGAGCTCAGGAAACAGGGCTCAGGGGGAGCACCTGCCTCACCATACTGTCCTTTTTGTTTCATCATTTCCCTTAGAATGAAAGATAAACTCGGTGTGGGTTTTAGGGTCCTCTGAAATACGCCTGCAATTTCTTTCTGGCTTAGAGCTACACTGGACAGTAATCACCATGGATGAACGGTAGCCAAACGTGTCCGTTAGTGGCTATAGCCCCAGGACTCAACATAGGTCTGACCTACTTGCTATACCTGCTCAGTAAAGATGCATGGGTGGGTGGATGCATGAAAGGATGGATGCGCAGATGGATGCGCCGATGGATGCGTGGATGGATGCACGGATGGATGTGCGGATGGATTGAAAAGCACATGGCTGGGGCATCTGGTTGTACTACAAAGGATAATTCTGTTGGCAGCCTCTTTGTAAACACTCTTTGATTAGACCCTCCCAGCATGAGGACCAAATGATAACATGTGTGAACAACCTCATACAGCATCTGACATCAGTCAGTTGTCTTTACACCTTACAGCACATTTCATTCACACCAAGCCTCCCCTTTCCAATTTATGCCACATTTTAACACACCTACTGTATGATAGGTACTTTTTTTTTTAATCAGACAGGGTGGAGAGCTAAGAAAGATAAGTGTGTGCATTCTGGGAAGCAGGGAAGGGAGGCTTACCTCAAAGCATTGCCCCACACTCCACACTGTTGAAGTGAAGCAGGGAAGGGAAGTTTACCTCAAAGCATTGCCCTACCACTCCACACTGCTAAAGTGAAACTCCAGTCAGCTCATTATGGTTTGGATTAACAGCTCCGATCATGACCAAGAGAGACGGCTATGATCTTTGGCAAAAACAAGACCCACGCAGCAGCTATGCCTTTAGAATAGCTAGAATTACCTTTCCTGCTGAATGGAGAATTGCTGTTCAACGCACAGTCTAAATTGGACTTTTATCCCTGTTTGCAAAGCTCACGTAAAGACATGATTGTGAGCACAGATGTGCCGTCTCAGGAATAATTCTCTTTATATAGCTCTGTTTATTGCAATATAATAAATGGTCCTCTTAAAGCCACGCCGCCTCGTACTGTTCATTACGTGGCTGAAAAGCTAATTTACGATGGGTCTATAACCCGTGCCTTGCACTGTTAATCCCCAATGAACTTCCACAGCCTGGGAGGAGGCAGGGATGGCTTTGGCTGAGCTTTATGAGTCCACTTCAGTCGGGTCTGAAAACAACGAAGACGAAACCACTAGGAAGGGGGTTAGGGCGATGGCTCAGGGGGCAGACGCTGCACAAGCATGAAAGCCAACCCCCTGCACCCGTGTAAAGGCCAGGGGCCGCATTATGTATCTAAGCCCCAGCAATGGTAGAGGCGTGAAGACATGTGGACCCCAGGGGCTCTCTCGATGGCCAATGCAGCTCCAGGTTCAGTGAGAAATCTTGTCTCAAAAAAAGTTTAAAAGTGATCAAGGGATAAAGCTAATATTGATCTCTGGCTTCTACATGCACTTACACACATGTGTGTGACTAGCACACACATGTGATCACCTGCACACACACACACACACACACACCATTGAAAAGGACTTTAAATAGATTCATTGATCTCATCCTCCTTAATCATAGACCTAATGGGCATAGCTGATACCAGGCATATATGTAGACTCATGTAGAAAGACAGAGGAGAGTCCTATGCTGGGAGGAGTCCCTGACACAGACAGACCTGAATTGGAACCCTGGCTACTTACTAAATATAACTCTAGAGAAGTTCCATCACCCTTTAAGCCAAAATAAATGGAGATCATGGTAGAACCTACTACTTCTTTGTGGGGATTGACTAAGATAATGTTAAAAAGAGCTTAGTATGCATCTTGGTCAATGGTGTGTGCTCGGTGCATGTTATTGCTTATTATGATTTTGTTAAAACGCCCACTGGAGAAAGTAACAGATATTCAGAAAGACATCTGACAGCAAAGCAAGATGGAAGCCGCAATGTACCTCTTAGAAGCGGGCACTGGTGTCTTCAAGGTTCTAGTTTGGAACCGACCAAATGGCCCTGTGCCTGCTGCCAGGGCAGGAATTTAAAGGTGACTACTGACTTAATTATTATTCCTCTTTATGATAGTAGGGACATACTGTGTTTGTTGAGTGACCCATGGCACACCAAGACATTTCATATAGCAACATACACATACACACATGCACACACATATACACATGCACATACACACACACTCGCACATACATACTCACACATATACACACATATACACCACTCACACACATATACACATACTCATACACACACTGACATGTATACACACACATATACTCACACCCATACACATACTCACACACACACTCACACACATATACACATACTTATACTCACACATACATACACCACACACACACACACACACACACACACACACACACAGCCATGGAGGATAGACATGGTGGTGAGTACAGAATCGTCGACATGCCTGTGATAAGACTGGGTGACTGTGACTCACCTAAGGCACACTGGTGAGTTAGGAGGTTTGAGTCAGACACCAGTCCTGGGTTCCGGGTCTCGCCTGCCTCTTATTGCCCTGTGCCGCCTCCTGACAGGCCCCGTCTCTCCTCGGCTGTCACTTCACCTCTGGAAGCCAGTGGTTCTGCTACAGGCTGCCTGCGTAACACTGGCAGTGTGGCACCACGTCCATTTCCCTGTCTGAAAATGCAGAGGTGCTAATGCACATCTCAGTGGCATGTGTCACCAGTAAATCAAGTCACTTTCCACCCACATAGTGGCGACCACCACAGATTAAACACACAGTGTGTTTCTGTGACCTTCCTTCCAAGGATACTTCCACTGAGAGGAGCCGTTCAAAAATCATTAGTGAAGCCAAGCAAGAGACATCTAATCATCTGGACCCACCACAGCTACGAGCCTGTCTTCCCGTTCAGGGACCTTGCTAGAGGCCAGCGGCCTGTGTTACAGAGCCCTAATAGGAAGCCTTGGAGCCCCTGAGTGGCTTCGGCTGGTGGCTTAGTCCCCTCAGCCCAGTTTCCTCCTCCATTCAGTTACCTTACAGACCTGTTGACAGGCAGGTGTTCTCCCAGAACCTGGCACAGTGTGGCTCTGTAATTGATGATTCCTGCTGCCTGGCACATAAGGTAGACACAGACACTGCCGAGTCCTCAACCGGGAGCTGCAGGCCAGCGGGCTCATCCCAAGCAACCCCTGCACCATCAGCAGTGCAGACTGCAAGCTGACGGGTTGACAGAGATAGCCGCACCTGCTGCCTCCTAGGAGAGACTGTCTCCTCCATGATAGGAGCATCTGGCACCAAGAATAGGATACAATGAAGGTAGCTTAAGTCAACATGCCCCGCAATGAAATGTGAGCCGACAAGATCCTCCGCACTTCGGCGAGGGCTGTGGAAACAGTGAAGTCAGATCTTACACAGTGTTTACTCAGGGCCTCAGCTTCTGCTCTCATCCCAGAAGTGTCTGCACAGATCACAGATACAGTCTCATCCACCTTGTCCCTCTGTCTTGATGAGCCAGACAAGGTAACTGGGGGACAGCGTCTCAGAGGCCACGGGGTCCAGTCTCTCACCTCTAACACCTCTGTCCTCAGCTCTGAACCCAACCTTTGGGATATTGATGCTGAGGATAAGGAGATGTGATTTGTGCCTCTGTTCCATAGCAAGTAAAGAGTTGGGAAGGAGACATGACTTCCCCAACTTAGCAGAGACAGGCCCCTCTGTATCGAGACTTCTCCATCAAAATGAGGTCTCCTTGCCGGTATTGTGCCTTTCTCTCTGACAAGCAGTAGTATAGGATGTTAATTTACATCTATTTCTTTGTGCCTTCTGTGAACCAGCCACTGAACTGCGTGCCCCATGGCCATTAACTGGGTACACCTGGAGGGAGTTTCTAGACTAGGTCAGCTGAGGCGAGAAG